AGGGATTAGAAGTGGGAGCCGGGATAGTAACCTGTCTGTACGGCAGGGGGTTGGTGAGGCCTACAGGCAAACACAGCTCCAGTTTGACCCAGCCACACTTCAAAAAAAAACAAAATCAAATGTTTCCTGTCAGTACTGATAGCTAATGAGATCCCTTAGGGAGGGCTCAAGTTGGTGAATGCAAACTAGCGTGGACTCACTGAGACCTCCTGATGCCATGGCATTGCGAGCACAGCATACGCATCACTTTTCAAACTCCTCACAGAGTCTGGCACCAAGCCCAGACAAAGTAATGATTTTTTTTTAAAGCAGGCACACAGCATAATAACAACAGTATCCAGTCACTAAATGCTCCTCAGGGTAAGGGCTCGTACTGTTTCATTCTTGTGGGGGAGTTGGGGGCTGGGGTTCTCGGAAAAAGTGCTAACTAGTTTCATCAAATGGTATTGCAGTGTTTTAGTCGCTGATAAATCACCAACTGTTTTGTGAGGTTCTGCAGTCGGATTTATTCAAAAGCCTTTAGCATTCGCGGGAGGTTTAACGGGATATTTTGATATTTGCCAGGAGGTCGTGATGACTCTCGGAATGGCTGCAAATTTCCTCCAACTGAATTTTTGATGTCATTAACTCTGTCGAGCTGCAGATGGCTTGGAATGACACAATGGCTAACACCGTGTGACTCAATCCCCTCCCTGGGTCTGACTTCATCCCTGCTAACCCCAAGGGTAATTTGCCTCCCAATTTGAACAGGAAGGCACAGACTTCCAGGAGGAAAGTATCTATCAATCTGTTGTTTACAAACCCGTGGAGGAGGGAACAGTTTGTATCTCGCCTTCAACCATCTCAGGTCAAGTCCCAGTCCTTCTCCATCCAATTCAGCAGCTTTGAAGCATTATTGTTGTAATGTTGGGAATACAGCAGCAAAGTGTACAATGCGATGATGACCAGAAATCCTCTTTGGAGTGATGTTATTTGAGGCTTGCCACAATGTATTGATGATTGTCCCCAGCTAAGGTAAACAGGGAGGGTTTGCAGCAACAAGGACAGCCAGTTGTTAAGGACAATAGGACGTAGGAGTAGAAATAGGCCTTTCTGCCCATCAAGTCTGATCCTGTGTTCAATGAGATCATAGCTGATCTGAAAATCCTCAACTTCAACTCCACTTTCCGGCCTTTTTCTCATAAACCTTGATTCCCATATTGATTAAAATTCTGTCAATCTCAGCCTTGGATATACTTAATGCTCCAGCCTTGACAGCCCTCTGCGGTAAAGAATTCCACGGATTCACTACCCTCCGAGAGAAGAAATTCCTCCTTATTTCTGTCTCAAATGGGCATCTCATATTCTGAAATTATGACCCCTGGTCCCAAGGAGGCCTAAATAGTTTACAACATTCCAGATGTGGTCTAATTAGTGCCTTGTATAATTTTAGTGAGACCTCCCTGCTTTTATACTCCAAAACCACCTGCCATATCCAAAAACTAATATGAGCTGATTAACCAGTGTTGCAGTGACCCGCTGTATCATGGGAAAACCAGGAGAAGAAGAGATTTCACAAATTGTGTAAAGATAGCTTGCTGCAATTGTATAACAACCTTAGTGCGACTGTGCCTGAAGAAATGTTTGTACATTTTACATCCCTTGTCTAAGGAATGATATACTTGCCCTGAACGTAGTGCAATGCAGGTTTGTCTCAGACGTTGGGATTGTCCTGTGAGGAGAGCGTAAGAGGAATAGGTTTGTGTTCGAGAGTTTTGAAAAACAAAACGTGTAAATTACAAAATTCTTGGGTGTTTCCCTTAGCTGGTGAGTGTGAAACCAGGGGACATAATCTCTGGATAATGGGCAGGCCATTTAAGACCGAGGTGAGGAGACATTTCTTCACTCAGAGAGCAATGAAATATTGAAATGCTCTCCTACAGAGGGCTTTGGAAGTTCAATCATTGGGCAAGATAGAAATTGATAGGCTTCCGATATTGCTGACATCAAAAGATATGGAGACTGCGTGGGAAAGATGATCAGCCATGATCTGATTGAATGGCACAGCAGGCTCAATGGGCTGAATGGCCTACTCCTGCTCCTATCTTCATATGAAAGTGATGTTAGGTGAGCGAAATATTGGCCAGGGTATCAAGAATTTGTCTGCTCTTCTTCAAACAACACCATGAAAACTTTTACATTTGCCCAAGAAGTCTTTGTTCAAGGTCTCACTTGGAAGACAGCACCTCTGACAGTGCAGCACTCTATCAATACTGAACTGGTGCTTTGGCTCAAACACATTTTGTGCTCAATACTCTCTGGTGTGTACTTGAATCTGCAATGCCTGAATCACAGACGCATGTTCTCTCACTGAGTCATATCTAGGTAGTTGGCGAGCTCACCTTCTACTTGCAAAACACAGCTAGCATGGGAGTCACTACAGGAAAGAAAGCACATTCAAAACCTGTTACTATAGCCATCAAAATGGAGCAACAGAGCCACCTTTGCTGACAGCTCCCACATAATGCGCTTTTAAACTCAGGCAGAGCCTCACTACGGCATCACTTAGCTCAACAGCCCAACTTCACGACAAGTCTCATTTATTCTAAACTAAATCCATCACTCGGGCAGATTAAACAATCCAGTCAAACAATGGGCACTCACTGTTACACTCTAGCTGTGCCATTGGCTTCCACTGCCGATGATTAAAACCAGATTTGAAACAGAACCACACAAACATAAAACGTGCTCTGGGTGAACATGCTGCATAAACCAATGCCTAGTATATTTTAATAGACTCCTAACCTGTAAAGTCCCTGAGCCTAGATAACACTCAAGGCTTTTATTGTTGCAGACTTCTTCTGCATCTTTCAAGCTATACGCGCTGGATTTCATTTAAAAGAAAGAGTACATCTCATTAACATGCTGCTGAATCTTTTGCAGGTGCCTTTCAACATAATCTGATCACGCTCGATAACACAAAGAAATGGTTTAATTAAAAGCAACCTGATAGTGCCTTAGCCAATCCTGTGGTGGTATAGACACATATTGCTAAAAAAAAGGCACATTTTGTGAAAGTTTTTCATCTTGTACACATCGGGACAATTCACAAGGGTTCCAATTCCAGGGGAAACTACTGGTAGTTTTATGAATTGTCCTGATGAGGGCAAGATGAAAAGCTTTGACAAAATGTGTTTTTTTCCAACAATACTGAAGTTCTGTGCTACCAAACAACTATATGTTCAAAAAGAGACAAGGTACATAACAAGCCATGGTCTGCTGTAAGCAACTGTATATGGCAAGTCATGGAATATACCTACTACAGAATGGACTGTTGTATTATGGTTTGAATTTTACCATGAGTTGGCACATAATCAGAGTGCTTACCAGGCAACGATATATGCACACACCATAGAATTGCCGGAGGTGGCTCTGTCTCACTGATTTGCTGTGTAATGAGTTCCAGATTTTGTGCAGATGGAATAATCTCAGCAAGGATTTTCTGTGAGGTATTTTACATCCTCTTCCTTCCTCTTTTTTTTAAGATCTCCTCACATTACACAGCATTCTCCCAGTGGAGCCTCTGCAAATGCTGCTCTGTTCTGGGGAAGGCAAGACATTTTTTTGTTTTAATCAGATCTGCTAAAATTTTCACCGCCTTTGGGATGTTTTTGGACAAAGTTTTTGAGTCCTTGGGCAGCAGATCAGGCTGTACTCAGTAAGCAGAGAAAATTTATAGGAGTTCTCCCAGGGCATTAGGTTATTCCAAGCCAATTTCTCGAGTTAAAGCCCATTAGGGCAGCACTAAACTCTGAATACTTGGATATTCTGATTTCCTCTCTCTCCATAGGAATAAAAACCTACTTCCCTTTGATAGTCGGTCTGTGATTAAAAGCCTAATATGGGAAGCACTGTGATCTTTCTGCAGAACAATTGTAAGTCTGTTTATAGAGAAAGCGTTTATGATTTTGCCATACAGCAGACGCCTCTCCTAACCCTTGCCAACATATAGGCCCAATATCACAGAGTTGTTACAGAAGGAGGCTATTCGACCCATCATATCTATGCCAGTTCTCCGAATGAGCTATTGGCCGTTCTCCTGCCTTTTGCTCCCCTGACCCAGCACATCTTCCTTTCCAGGTAACAGCAGAACTCCCTCTTGAACACCTCAATTGAACTTCCCTCCACAACACTCTCAAGCAGCGCAATCCAGACTTTTAAAAGTGTCTTTCCACAAAAGAAGCCTTTGCTTATTGTGCCAATTAATTTAAATCTGTGCTCTGTCATCCCTAATCGAATTGGAATATTTTCTCCGTATTGACTCTGTCTAGGGCCCTCAAGATATTCAATCCATCTATCAAATCTCTTTCAGACACCTTTTCTCCAAGGAAATAAAGTCCAATAACTCCAATCTATCTTTGTAGCTGATGTTCCTCATCCTTACATCCATTCTCGTAAATCTTTTGCGCTGTCTCCAGTGGCTTCCCAAAGGGTAGTGCTCAAAATGCAATACTCCAGCTGAGAACAAACTAGTGTCTAATGCAAGTTCAACATAGTTTTGCCCTGTAGTCTACACCCCTATTAATAAAGCCAAGAATACTGCATGATTTATTAATCTTGCTGTCAACCTGATCAATGCCTAATGCAAATCCACACCCAAGTGCCTCTGCTTTGGCTTATGTACATGAAAAAGAAGGTATGAAGAAGCAGAGTATTTAATGTCCTGTATATCATTCTGTCATGCTACTCTATAATGAGCAAACATTAATATCATAGGCCCCTTCTCAGAAACTATCAGGTTTTTAAGGTGAAGGGGCTATAGGGAGGTTGGTTTATAAATCCTAATTCAATGCACCATGACAGAGCCCCTGTACTCTCAGCAAGCCCAACAAAATAAACCAGAATTAAATGAAGGTGTTAAATCAAAGTATTGACAACAGCTTGCATTTGTATAGTGACCCTAAATGGGAAGATGTGCTACCAAGTCCCCTAATCCATGACTGGTAATCAGGATAACTTACGGAGCTCATCAAAGTGTGTCTCAATTCCATCAGGACCTGGCACTGAGCAGATGAGGCGAGCTTTCAGGAAAGTGCTCCATTTATTGACGAGGCAACAGTGGCCACCATCATCATTCTGTAAAAGAAATAGTCATATAGGAATTGACCAAAAAAGGACAGAGCTCACCTACCTTCCTGGTAGTTGTGTTTTCTGAAGTTAATAAGATTGTGGTGGTCAATCTCTATTAATTAATCTACAACAGTCCCAGATGTAAAGTGAGGACATTTCACTTTGGAAACCACCAATCCAAAGTTGCCTGTCCCTCCTAAGCATGTGACCCTGATCACCTGTCTGGTCTCTCGCTGACATCATCACCTCTCATTCTTTCAACTCCAGTAAATATAGGCCCAACTTTTCCTGATTAGATAACTTCTTCACACCAGGTATCAGTCAAGTGCACTTTCACTGAACTGCTTCCAATGCTATTGTATTGTTTTCAGGTTATCATTCCCAAACTGTACACAGTGCTCCAGATTGGTCTCACCAACACATTATACACTACAGCGAATCTTCCTCACTTTCAGACTCTGTTCCCCTTGCAGTAAACAATAATACCATTGGTTTTCCTAATCATTTATATAGTGTTCACAATGGTTGTCCCTCTGATGTTGAGACTTTCAACACTCCTGTCTGTACGAGATTTAAGAGTGTTTCAAGTTGCTCTGCTGTCCATTATCCCAACAGTAGAAAACTTTTACATAACAAGGCAGAAACAACACCACTTTATTTTAAATGAAGGCACAAGTTACTGGGTCCTGAATGCTAATGTGTGAGCCAATTAAGAAAGGACACTGGTAGCCCAAGGCTTTCCCTTAATCCATCAGCTGAATACAAACATGGGTACAGTATCAATTGTTGGTCATAAAATGGGCCCTATCATGATTTTAGTAATATTGTAACTAACTTTATCAGTTATCATTGCTTGTGTAAAAGTGATATGGCCAGCATTTTTCAGGTGAATCATTAAAGCAATGCTTTCTAAATATCTCCCGCTATGATGCCAGTTCGCATATCGTGACCCTTCAGTGAGATCTGTACCAACATTGGTCAGGGACTCCTTGAGAGTGGGAGGGAGGGGAAGACCTTTGAGAGCAGAGGTTTGCTAAAGGGGCAGCACATCTGAATAACTTCAGCTGCAGCTCCACAACACCCATTTTTTATAGTGGAGCCAGCAACCTTCTCATTTCAGCTTGAGATTCCCAGTTTGGGAAGCCCTGCGTTAAACCAAAACTTCATCTAGCAATTCAGGATTGATTCAATAGGTCCCAATGCCTCTATTCTCAGAAGCACATAGGCATCCTTCCTGGTGTACTGGCCAATATTTACTCCAACACTATCACAACAGATGACGTGGTTGTATAACATGCTGTAGGACCTGGTGTGTAACCTCTGGGCGATATTTGCACACAATCTTGTCGATAGACATGTGCCAGTGTTTAGGAAAGTAACTCGATGATTGTGAAGTGCTTTGGGACACCCTTGGGGGGAGAGGGGAGGGGGTCTAAATAAATTTAAGTACTTTATTTTCTTTCCTGTTATAGCCAGACATTTTTACTAGCTGTCTTAATAGATTTACAAAAGATCAAATAAAACAGATTTAGAAATAGGATTTGGGGGTCTTTAAGGAAGGAATGATTCAAATTTGCTTTTCATCGTTGTTCACTTTTATAGTTTATATGTAGGTAGATTTTGATTTTTTAAATTGTACTATTTGATGTGGGAGCTGCAATTTCAGCTGGTGGGGAAAATATTGCAGAATCTCCAATCCCGCAGTCACTGAGTGAAAACCGACATACCAGACAGATCCGTCCTATCCTCGAGTGAATGGCTGAACTTCCGGTCTCACTTGATTTCTCCCGGAAAAAGAAGTAAAGCTTATCATCGTTACGTTCACCGCTATCTGGGATTAACTGAGCGTGGACAAACACTGGGTCTGAAACCAAACAGAACATAGATGCGCAGTGAATGCTGATGCACAGAGGAAAGAAAGGCTTTTGCATTCAACTAAGCTTTTCACGAGCACCAGAATTCTCAAAATGCTCCACGGGAAATCAAAGATAACTCAGTGTGGACCTGGATGAACACAGCAGGCCAGGCAGCATCAGAGGATCAGGAAAGTTGACGTTTCGGGTCGGGACCATTCTTCAGAAATCGGGCTTCTGAAGCCATTTCTGGGGCCATTTCTGAAGAAGGGTCCTGACGCGAAACGTCAACTTTCCTGCTCCTCTGATGCTGCCTGGCCTGCTGTGTTCATCCAGCTCCACACCTTGTTATCTCAGACTCCAGCATCGGCAGTTCTTACTATCTCTGAATGGGAAATCAAAGAACTGTTACAGTGCAGAGGAGGCCATTTAGCCCATCATATCTGTACCTACTGTCAGTATCCTGCCTTTTCCCCATATCCTTGAACATTGTTTCTATCTAAATAACCATCCAATGCTCCCTTGACTGCCTGAATTGAAGCTGCCTCCATGACCTTTCCAAACTCTGTTCCCCCACCTGAATTACTCACTGAGGGAAAAAGTCTTTTTTTTCTCACATCATCCTTGCTTCATTTGCATATCACTTTAAATCTAAGTCCTCACCTGTCATAACCAATGAAATTCTTTTCAAATGGAATCACTATTGCAATGTAGGAAATGTGGCAGCCAATTTGCACCTGGCTAACTTCCACAAATGTGACAATGTCAGGATTATAGTTCCTTTGGGATATAAATTGATTGAGAAATATTGGCCACCACACTGATCACTTCCCCGCTGTTCTTTGAAACAATAGCTTTCTTTATTCACTCATGGGATGTAGAGGGCACTGCCTGGCCAGCATTTTTTATTGCCCATACCTAGTTGCCCTTGAGAAGGTGGTAATGAGCTGCCTTCTTGAACTGCTGCAGTCCATGTACTGTAGGTTGACCCCCAATGTTGACAGAGAGGGAATTCCAGGATTGTTACCCAGCAACAGTGAAGAAACAGTAATACATTTCCAAGTCAAGATGGTGAGTGGCTTGGAGGGGAGTTTGTGGATGATGTTCCCATTTATCTGCTGCCCATGTCCTTCTAGATGGAAGTGGTTATGGGTTTGGAAGGTGTTTTCTAAGGATCTTCAGTGAATTTCTCCAGCAAATTTTGTAAATAGTACATACTGCTGCTACAGAGTGGTGGTAGTGGAGAGTGGTTGCTTGTGGATATGGTGCCAATCAAGCGGGCTGCTTTGACCTGTACAGTGTCAAGCTTTTTGAGTGTTATTGTAGCTATACCCATCCAGACAAGTGGGGAGTACACTATCACACTCCTGACTTGTACCTTAAAGATCAGAAGAATCAGAAGGTGAGCTACTGAGTTCACAGTATTCCTAGCTCTCACCTGCTCTTGTAGCCACTGTATTTATGTGGTGAGTCCAGTTGAGTTTCTGGTCAAGAGTAATGCCAAGGATGTTGATAGTGGGGGATTCAGTGATGGTAACGCCATTGAACGTTTATGGGATCTGGTATCTTTCACATCCATCCAAGAAGTGAGGTCTGAATTTACTGTCTGAAACCGAACTGTGACCGTGCAGCACTCTCTCAGTGCTAAATTGTCAGGTCGGTTGAGATTCTTGGTCTCAGGCTGTGGAGCGGGACTTGAACTGGGTAACTTATAATTCAGAGGTGAGAGGACTACCATTCGAGTCAGTGTGGACCATACACGTTTCACAACTGTATTTCACTTCCTCAGCCACACCTGGATGCTGATGGTCAGGGCAGCAACACTCACCTCCAAGCCAACCGGTTGCCTACTCCAGAATCACAAGTATACAAGCTGGACTAACAATCCAGTGGAATGCCACACTTTCAGCGGTGCTGAGTTTCAAGTGCACCAGGCACCTCTAGTCAGGATCACATTGCTGATGAGGGACCTGGCTCTCATAGATTGACTGCTGTGCTCTGTGTTCCTGTAGTGGCAAGACTTCAACTATGGCTTCATTGCCTGGTCAGGGGCGTTGGGATTTCCCAAACTCATAAAGGATACAACAATAATATATTGTATGCCCAGCTTTCTTGCAGTACCATTGTGTGACCTGGTTAAAATACAGAGGCAATTGGATCTATAGTTAATTTGTTGTTACAAGCCACCAAACTCTAAATAGCGTTAGACCAAAAAAACTTCAAAATAATTGGAAATGGGTGTAACACTGATACTAAGGGAATCACTGGATAAAAGTGTTGGTCAGATTTTACAGTGTTCCAATGGTCCAGTATCAGCCTGGTAACTGATTAACTTTTGCTCTCTGCTTTGACCCCGAGGTCTTCCTGCTTGTTTCACTCTAGACTCTCTACTTTGGAGTTCAATTGGGTAGTGGATGCAATAACCTGCCCACTTATTGTGCCCCTTGCAAATACCAAACGCTGAAAAATTGATCCAACAGCCGCAAAATGGATACATCCAACTCCCGAGCGCGAAGAATGAGATGCAATCTGAATCATATACTGCAATAATGACCAATACAACTAATTAAAGGCATGATAGTGGGATAGAAACAATGCAGACAATGATGGGCTGAATGGCTGCTCCTATAAGGTTGTACGTTTCCATGTTTTTGTGGAAGAAGAAACTGGAAAATCCACTTAAGAAACTGTAGGTGTGATCTGTGTGATTACAGAGCTGTCTGTAAGCATCAGTATCTCTTATAGACTGGCATGATACGAATTCTTGCACTGGAGACTCTGCTCATTGGCTCAACCATGTGACACCTGCCTCAGCACACCATTGGCTGCCGTTCCAGTTCCAATTTGGGGAAACTCAGGGTCAACCAACAGCCAGTATAATAATTGGTTTCAGGACAGCATTTTCAGCCACAATAGAATCCCTACAGTGTGGAAACAGGCCATTCAGCCCACCGAGTCCACATCGACCCTCTGAAGAGCATCCCACCCAGACTCATGCCTCTTACCCTATCCCTGTAACCCTGCATTTCCAATGGTTAATCCACCTAATCTGCACATTCCTGGAAACGACCGGCAACTTAGCATGGCCAATCCACTTAACCTGCCCAACTTTGGACCGTGGGAGGAAACCAGAGCACTCGGAGGAAACTCACGCAGAATGTTCAAACTCCACACAGAGGGTCGCCCAAGGGTGGAATCCAACTGGGGTCCCTGGTGCTGTGAGGCAGTGGCGCTAACTACTGAGCCACTGTGCCAGGTAGGAGCTGTTGCAAGGGCAGACCTATTGTAAACAGCACAGTGTGGAGCTGGAGGAACGCAGCAGGTCAGGCAGTATCAGAGGAGCAGGAAAGTTGGTCTTCTTCAGGATCCCGATCCGAAACGCCAACTTTCCTGCTCCTCTGATGCTGCCTGGCCTGCTGTGTTTCTCCAGCTCCACACTGTGTTGTCTCTGACTCTAGCATCTGCATATCTTGCTATTGGCAGGCCTGTTGTAAGTCCTGCTTCCCATCCAGTGTGCCATGAATAGGATAGCAAGGAGAAGCGCAAGAAACACAATCCAGTTTTAGCAATGAAAGGCTCTTGTTCTCCCTATATTAAGACAGTTTATCACAATACTCCTGTAATAATGAGACTGAAAGGTAAAGGCCCATTGCAACAGTGACGGATTGGGTTGTACTGGAAGCAAGCATGTGTGCTACTATGTAGACCCATTAATGGCACTGACTAAACATGAGTTACTGCAGACAGTTAGTTCCTGCCTGTTAATTTAGAATTAGACCAAAGTTATTATACACACGGGCCCCGAACTTCATGCAGTCATGCAGATTTCAAAAGGCTGGAATATTCAGTAATACTAGTAGCCTAACCACCCACAGGAGGGAGAAGGCCTATTCAAGAAATTCCTTTCTTTGCTTGTTCCCTCTGTCCTCCCTACACAAATACATGAGATACTCATTCTAATGTATCGCACGGGAGTGGGATTGTATGTTAACCTGAAGTGAGTGCTCTAACAAGGGATTTGGGTGGTGAATTCCACAGGCTCGCCACTCTCTGAGGGAAGAAGTTTGTCCTCATCTCAATCCTAGAAGCTTTACCCTTTATTTTAAGATATGACCCCTGGTTCTGGACTCCCCCATCATCAGGAACATCTTTCCTGCATCTAACCTGTCTAGTCCTGTTAGAAATTTATAAGTTTCTATGAGATTCCCCCTTATTCTTCGAAACTCCAGTGAATACAATCCTCACTGACTTAATGTCTCCTCATACGTCAGTCTTACCATCCCAGGAATCAGTTTGATAAATCTTTGCTATACACCCTCAATAGCAAGAACATCCTTCCTCAGATAAGGAGACCAAAGCTGCACATAACATTCCAGATGTAACCTCACCATTGTCCTGTATAAATGCAGCAAGACATGCTTGTTCCTCTACTCAAATCCTCTTGTTATGAAGGCCAACATACAGTTTGTCTTCTTTACTGCCTGCTGTGCCTGCTTATTTTCAGCAGTTGGTGCATGAGGACACCTTGTTGAACATACCCCTTTCTCAATTTACAGACATTCAATTAAAAAATTGCCTTCCTATTTTTGCTACCAAAGTGGATAGCTTCACATTTATTCACATTACACTGCATTTGCCATGAATTTGTCCACTTATTCTGCCTGTCCCAATCCCACTGCAACATCTCTGCATCCTCCTCACAGCTCACCCTTCCTGCCAGCTTTGTGTCATCTTCAAATTTTGAGATATTACATTTATTTCCTTAAACTAAACCATTAACATTTATTGTGAATAGCTGAGGTCCTAGTTCTGATCCCTACAGCACCCCATTAGTCACTGCCTGCCATTCAGAAAAAAAATATTCCTACTCTGTTTCCTGTATGTTAATCAACTTTCTATCCATCTCAATACACTAGACCCAATCATTTAATGTCACACATTCATCTCTTATGTGGGACTTTGTCAAAAGCCTTCTGAAAATCCAAATACACCGCAGGCTAATCCTGATCAA